ATCTTTCTGGTATTCTTTGCTTTCAGCCAGGATCCACCTGACATCAGCAATGATATCCCTTGTTCTACGTCCTCTTCTGAATCCAGCTTGAATTTCTGAAGTTCCCTGTCAGGGTCCTGCTGCAACCAGTTCTTAATTATCTCAGCAAAATTTTACTTGTGTGTGATATTAATGATATCATTCAATAATTTCCACATGCTGTGGGATCACCTTTCTTTGGAATGGGCACAGATATGGATCTCTTCCAGTCAGTTGACCAGGTAACTGTCTTCCAAATCTCTTGGCATCACCGAGTAAGTGCCTCCAGCACTGCGTTTGCTTGTTGAAACATCTCAAAGGGTATTCTGTCAATTACAACCACCCTCTATAGCCCCTCAACTACCAAACCCAGAGCTGTTTCCTGGGTCCTCTCCACCTCTGCCACCTCAGGTTAGTTCAGGACCTGATTGACTTTCTCCTGGACCATCCAAACAGCCTGCTCCCTGGTCTTTTCACTTGTAACCCTCTCCTTCACGTCCATCTTCTTCTCCAGACACTCCAGCCAGTTAGAGTGACTCCAAAACCAATGTGATGATGTCAGTCCTCTGCACCAACACCTCCATTGCCCACGTGGCAGCCTGGACTACACTCCAAAGGCTGCAGATCATTCTAAGAAGTTATTTACCTGCTGTCAATGTTCACCCTATATTCCTGTCTACTGTTTGGCTGGAAGCCATGGTAGTTACCTGAAGGGTAACTAGGGGCCATAGTCTCAGGGCGCCGGAGTATCTGGGCTGGATTACATTACATTGACTGCAGTCCCCACAATGCAACAGCTCTCTTCCCACTTCCTACTCCCAGTAGTTACCACTTCCCTGTGTCCTTCTTTCCTATGCATTCCTGCCCCCTGAGCTATCTCCCTATACAAATACTGGCCTTTTGATCTGCAGTCAATGTTAGGAAACAAAATGTATATGAATTTCTGTATGGAAAATGAATTTTCTCTATAAACTTTCATTCAAATCACAATAAAAATTGAAAAAAAAAAAATCCTCCTCTGGTATTTGAGTGCCACCACCATCACCTTATCTCTCTTTCTACTTCCTGCCCTGTGCCACGGACCTCAGGCCTTTTATACCAAGGGATCAGTTGATACCTTCCAATATTTTACTGTGCCATTTTCTCTGCCAGGACAATATTTCACTCCTTCTTTGATAGTCCACCTTCTCCTTACCTTTCACGGCCTGGTTCAAGCTCCTCTCAGCAGTCCAGGCAGACAACCTCACTAGGTATGGGCTGTGTTTATTTCCCTGCTAGATCAGACTGGGCCTGACTCATGTCTCCTTCTCTTCAGTAGTCAACCCAAGGCCAAGCACACATGTTCACTAAATATGTGAGCAGATGAATAGCCTGTTCCCTCACACTTTTACCCAGGTGTAAAGACATAGACCACAAGCTCTCCCAAGGCAGGGATTTTGTCTGTTTTTTTGGTGTTGGCTCTCCAATGCCTGACACCTG